GGGGAGAGGAGCAGAAAAGAGGGGGAGAGGGGAGAGGTCTTTCCATGGGGAGAGGTCTTTCCATGGGGAAAACTCTTCCCCCACCCGAAGGCGAGGGTCCGTGTCACCCCCCAATTTTTATTGTATTTTTTATAATATAATTTTTATTTTCTTTTTTGTTTCTTCGCTGGGCTGAAGGTCTGGGGGCGACGTCGGCGAGGGGCTGGAAGCCCGGGACCCCCGTCGGGGGGCAGGGGAGCGGAAGAAACGCGGGTGCTTTGCTGCCCGCACCTTCTCGGCGGGACGGGAATCAGCGAAGGGATCGCTCCGGGTGGCGGCGCGGGATTTTACACGCTCCTCTCGGCTCCTTTCTTCTCGCGGGCATCGGTTATTTATAGTCCTCTCTTTTTTTTTTTTTTTAAATACATATATAAATGTCCGTGCATATATTTAGAATACGTGTGCGCGTGGAGATTGAAAAAAAAAAAATATATATATATAACGTCTAGTATACATATATACGTTTAGAAGAATAATACCTACCATTTCCGGACCCCAAAAAAAAAAATACTGGATCCGAGTTTTCCACTCCTGTGTAATGGCTCAAACGATGAAAAATCAACGCGACCGCTCAGAGGGGACATAAATCACTCCCGAGTGTGATCTGAATTTCTCTCTCTCTCCCCCCAGATGAAGCCTGGAGGGTCATCATTTTTCTGCGCCACTTGACCAAAGATATAATGTTTTGATTAGGTCGTAAATCAAAATCTTGGGTCGTGGTGGTGTTTTTTTTTTCTTTTCTTTCCTTTTTTTTTTTTTTTTTTTGGTTTTGTGTGGTTTGGGGGGTTAGAGCTGGACCTCCTTTATGGTAGGGATTATACAAGTGCAGAAGGACAGGAATCTTACTCATAGTTCAGAATTCCAGATAATCTTGAAGAACTCGAAACAAAAAACCCCATCTGTTTGGAAATTCTGGAAGAGTTGCCTTTAAGACCATGCAGTCTTACAAATAGTAGCTAACAACAATAGCAAAACATAAGGTCAACACGTCAATGTGTGCTGGCTCCAAATGAACTGTTCCAGTGTTGACTTTAATCTTTTTGAGAATTGGGATTGTACTTTGTGACTATACCCTTACCTGTAGACCCAGCTGCCCTCTAGAGTTGTCTCTAGCCCTCTAGCGGGTGTTTTTTGGTTTTGTTTTTTTTTTATTCCTCCCCCTCTCCCCCGGGAGCTTTCTTTCCCCTTATCGGCGGTGGCGGCGTGAACCTGGAACAATGGAGGCCGCGGAGGGGAGAGGGGGGGGGGGGGGAAAGCCACAACGAAACGGGGGATTTACAAAAAATCTAATTTTGGAGAAAC